TAAAAAAATGAAGATTCTACTGAGCATCAATGATAAAACACAACTGAAAGCTTTTGTCCAAGTCAAGATCTATCTACCTGTCGTTGAAATAAGGCTGGGTTAGGGAGTGGACGAGGCTTAGCAATGCTGGATGATGGTTGTTGCGAAGTTGTGTGGGGAGCTGTGTTAACGATAGCAGACTGTGGATCCTGAAGAAAGGGCAAGATCAGATGGACAAACCATCATATATAGGAAACAGAAAGAAGAAATTACTTGTAATCTTTCACTGATAGGTATCTGCTTACGGAAGGATTGATAGGCTTGATTTGTACGGTGAAGCGCAGCAGCAGTAGCATCACTAATTTGGTTCATATTCAATTCAAACAATTCCAGGAACACATTTAGCTGACTTACTCTTTGTCTCCCCAATTGGGATTCAATGCGTTTTCAAGCGATTGCACATTCTCTTCGTCCCGTTTCTTTTTTCGCTCTAGGCAAATAGAAAACGCACATCCGACAGCATGAGAAAGACGCTCGCCCTATTGAGTGAATATAGCAATACCAGCAAAAAGAGTACATTTGCCAGAAACGCACCGACTCCTTCGTAGCATGAAAACCATGACACATCCATCGCCTAGATGTGCCATCTCTGCAAATGTAAGCAAATCCCTTGTCATTGTTACGATCTGGAGCGCAAAACGAGACCTATGGAAGAAGACAAACTCTAGGAAACGTATGCGACAGTAGAAAATCAGTTACCTTTTCGATCGTTTGATCAACAATCAAACCCCTGTTGTTTTCCTGATCAACGACACGAAGACCATCTCCAGATACATATAGAACAGCTTTTATAGGCCGTCGTCTGTTGCTCTACAAGCGATAAAAATATTTTGATCTTCACACTTTTTTACTTTAGCGCCCAATGCCCTCAACGAGTGAGAATAGAATAACAGCTCTGAGACATGCTTACATCACACGTCCTTTTGTCAGCCCCCGATCACCGATCATGGTTGGCTAGCGAAAAGAAAAAATAAGATATTACAGCAATTCAAAGCTGAAGGAAAGATAACAACGGTTAGGAAAAGAAAACATGCAAGAATAGCAGCGATGTGGATAGAAGTGGTGAAGGTGGTTAAAGGTTATGGAGCAAAGACTTTCCGCTATGCCCTGTAGGGTAGCCAGCAGATAGCCTCTACTGCACCTCTCTAATTAGGAATCGCTGAATGCGTTGCATGGGCCATGGGCACTGCTGTACCTAGCAACCTATGATAAACTAGCAAAACAATAAGTATAGTAAGGTTCAGCAAAGAAAATGTGAAACGTAAATTTAGTACGAAGGATGAAGGACTGTAAAATGGAAAAAAGGGTACCGCAAGTATCTTGCTGGCCTACCTCGTAGTATTCATCTTCTTTATCGAATAAAGAATCAAAAATAATTTGAAACGAACCCTAAGCATCTTAAGGGCTCCCTCACAAACTTGCATGCCACGTGACTCGTAAACCTCGACAGCTCCAAGATACTAAACGAGAGGTATTCTCATTATTTCACAAAGATACTTGTAACGGAGCTAGACAAAATAGTGTATAACACCAGGAAGTGTAGAACAACGAGGTAAGAATTACCTTAACAGTGAAATGGCAAAGACCTGCTCGCACAGCAGCTTCATCCGGCTGCCACTGCTCCTGCTTCTGGCCGCTAGAACCATTTGAAGCAACTAGTTCTGAGGGAGTACTAGTTTCAGGACTGTGCCGTCCTCCACGTCGGAAGGACTGCCGAATGGATCGCCGTAGACGGTCCATTGAACGACCAAGAAGTGAGCTGAACGATGGCGAGATTAAATTCAGAAAAACAAAAATAAAAACAGAAGCAGCTGCTCAGGAATGATAAGAGAGGCACAAGGCGGAGCAAGATTTTTCATTTGCCTTTCAAAAAAACGAAGATAGTATAAGCAAGGTAACTGGTTCAACTTTAAGGCCTGTACAAACTTTGATGGATTGAAAACCAAAAAAATATTTACAAGGTATTTTTAAAATTGGAAAACTTTGGTATTGTAGAACTTGCAAAAACAGCAAGTCGAATGAGTTGAGATACACTTCGGTTAAGAAAAAA